GGGCCCGAGACCCCCCTCGCACCCCTGCTCTGCCGGTGTCCGCCCTGACCGGGGTCACACTGGGCCCCACAGACACCGCCACCAGCTCCCACGCCCGGTCTTGTCCCCTTCCCCCGGGGCACCCTGGGACCCCTTGTCCTGTCTGCCCCAGGGGGGGACCCCAGTGTCCTGCACACCACAGCTCCCCAAGGGGCTGGTTTCGCACTCAGCATCCTTCCTTCCCCGTGTCCCTCCTACCACTCATCCTCCTCCAGCTGTCCTTCCTTCACAGTGTCACTCGTACCAATCCTCCTGCTGTCACTCCTTCCCAGTGTCTCTAGTACCGTTCATCTTGCTTCTGCTGTGTCTCATTCCCAGTGTCCCCTGTACCAGTCATGCTGCTCCTTTTTGTCCCTCTTTCCTGATATCCCTTGTAATGGTCATCATCCTCCTTCTGTGCCTCCTTCCCAGTGTCCCTTGCACCCATTGTCCTGCTCCTGCTGTCTCTCCTTCCCAGTGTCTTCAGTACTGCTCATCCTGCTCCTGCTGTGTCTCATTCCCAGTGTTCCCTGTACCGGTCGTGCTGCTCCTTCTGTCCGTCCTTCGCGGTGTCCCTCACACCAGTCATCCTGCTCCAGCTGTTGCTCCTAGTGTCCCTTGCACCCATGGTCCTGCTCCTGCTGCCGCTCTTGCCCGGTGTCCCTCGTACCCATCCTCCTGTTCCTGCTGTCCCTCCTTCCCAGTGTCTCCATTACCGCTCATCCTGCTCCTGCTGTGTCTCATTCCCAGTGTTCCCTGTACCGGTCGTGCTGCTCCTTTTGTCCCTCTTTCCCGGTGTCCCTCGTACCACTCATCCTCCTCCTGCTGTCCCTCCTTCCCAGTGTCCCTTGTACAGGTCGTGCCGCTCCTGCTGTCGCTCCTTCCTGGTGTCCCTCACAGCACTCGTCCTCCTCCTGCTGTCCCTCCTTCCCAGTGTCTCTAGTACTGCTCATCCTGGTCTTGGTGTCTCTCATTCCCAGTGTCTCTTGCACCGGTCATGCTGTTCCTCCTGTCCCTCTTTCCCAGTGTCCCCTGTAATGGTCATCCTGCTCCTGCTGCCCCTCATGCTGATGTTCCTGACAACCTTGTGCCCAGTTGTTCCAGAGGAAAGTGAGCATGCACAAGAGAATGACTCCAGGAGAGAGCCTGGGGCTTCCTGTGAGGTTTTGGGTTGTTCTGTGTCAGAAGCCATCCCTGAGGGGACCTTTCCTGCAACCCTGTTCA